ACAGGATCAAAACAATGTCATAAATTATAATATATTTGGGTCCCCCAATCTGTAATGAACCTAGTCTGGCAGATACTCATCAGTCGTCAAACACCAGTAGTCTCAGTATCTGCAGCATAGTCTCCAATTATCGTGAAATGATATCTGTTTTGGATATCCAATTATCGTGAAATGATATCTGAAGTAGTCTCAGTATCTGCAGCATAGTCTCATTACCATTAGACGAAGAGAGTGGAGGGAGATCAGACAGAGGAGAAGGTGGAAGAGATGATCAAAGATCACACAAGAGTAATTCCGTCAAACCCCACTCCTTCTCCGGGCTTCTTCCCTTCCCACGTCAACAACCAGTATATGATAACAAGTATAATAATCCTGATCACATAATAGTGCCACGTGGCACTCTTATCTTGTGAAGACCATGCAAACACAAGCAGATTACAGTGACGACGTCAACCTCAGGTGAGTATCCGATCCCAATCATCCACAGATCCTGATCTTCCTCCTCCTCACAACCAGTCACCCCATGTGGACAGCGTGGACAATGCCATGTCGGCAGTCAAGACAGGTGGCATGCGCCACATCATCACACAATGTAGACCAGAGGCAGCGCCACATCATCATGCAGTGTAGACCAGAGGCAGCGCCACATCATCATGCAGTCTAGACCAGAGGCAGCTCCACATCATCATGCAATGTAGACCAGAGGCAGCGCCACATCATCCAATGTAGACCAGAGGCAGCGCCACATCATCATACAATGTAGACCAGAGGCAGTGCCACATCAACATGCAGTCTAGACCAGAGGCAGCGCCACATCAGCATAGCCTGGCGCACAGAACAAGAAGCGCCAGCATGCTGCCTCCACCTCGTGCCGTCGTCCCCAACGCCTGTGCACAGCCAGCCTCTAGCCAGCATAAATGCCAGCGTCTAGTCAAAGTCGAGCCAGCGTCAAAGCAGCATAGCAAGACTGAATGCTGACCACCTCAAGGCCAGGCCTTACGTAGCATTTGACGAGGCTGTCTGGCCTCGAGTCCTGTTCCCTCAGTTGTCCAGATTACCTCACAGCCGAGCGCCCCGATTGTGTACGGTTGCAGACTTCCCCTTGGACCTGATGCTGTCTGGGTACCTGCATACAAACACGTGTGTGTGCTTGACCGGTGTCCTGGGCTGGGTACCTTTGGACTTTGACTGTTGGTGTCGCGACAGTTTTCAAAAGGCAACTGTCTCACGTCCAGGCCCTGAATTTTCGTGTGGGGTCTTTTTGCCCCCGTTTGGGCCTGGGCTGAGGGCGGCCAAGTAGGCCCTCAGACATTCTACGAGACATATGGCATGGGTTATTAACTTATTGCAAATCTTTTTTTTTTTAGTTTCTGGTGTAAGAGTCTCAATCTGGACTGTCCATCTGGACAACGGTATCTGGATACCAACATCAGTAGTAGCAAATGAGACAAATGGTCAACGAACAAGTCGCGACGTAGAAAAGTCGATCAAATTGGATTCAAAATATAACAAGTAGCACTGGTCCAATCAGTAATCAACTTCACCATAGTTCAGGTCGGCGTCCCCTACGCCGCGTTTCGGCAACACGCCACGTTGCCTCATCAGGGGGTCTCCACCTCCTTCACCCTAATCATTCGCCAACTCTTCCCAAACAACCCACTTCCGTCTCCTCCACCCCGGTCATTATGACCGAGGTATACGGATCCGTCAGTCCTTGAACTTAAGAGGTCGACTACTTCGTTCAGTCACTATTAATAGGTAAGTATTCAAAATGAACCACCGTCGCAGGCACGAAAATGTGCCAACCCGGACCTTCGAGTAAGCCCAGGTCCAACTGATCGGTACCAGGATATCGATACAATAAGCTACCGGTTCGAATCCAATGAAAAACAAACCAAAGCGTCGAATAAAACAGTCCCTCGGTAATTAAGGACCAAAAACAGAACAAAAACATCAGGGCCTGCAGCATAACGACCCCGAGAAAGACAAAACCACACTGCTACAATCGGATCAACCACACATCGAATAAAACAATCCCCCGGATTAGGGACCAAAAACAGAACGAAAACGTCAGGGCCTGCAGCCTAAAGACCCCGAAAAAGACAAACCACACTGCTGCAATCGGACCAACATCAGGACACTGGTAACCCAAAAAAAAAAAAAAAAAAAAAAAAAAAAAAGAAA